TTGCACTCTGTTCACACTTCTTTGGTTTCCGAGCTTTCTAGGACAAGCAATGGTGAAATAAAGATATTTAGGCGTTTAATTCCCATTGAAGTTGTTTTCATTTGGTCTTGGCACCTAAACGGTGCTGTGTTTGTTTTTTTTGGGGGGGGATGGGGTGTTCCCTGCAGTTTACAGTTTTTCTTTTTGGTTTTTTTTTTGTTCCCCAGGACCCTGTGTGACTACTTCCCAGACTTTCCTACTCCCCTCCTTCTTTTATTTTTCCTTAAAAAAACCCCAGCTGTTGCCCTTCTCTTCTCCAAGGGAAAAAGGACGATTTTGTCTGCTTATTCTTTCTTTCTCTGCAGTGGTGGGAGAAAAAACCTACTGAACGTTTCAGTTGAGCAAGCAGGATTTACATTTGCCCTGAATTTTACTTTTTTTTTTTTTAAATCTGGATCTTGAAGCTAACACATATGCTTCTCAACTTCAGAGAACATGACCTTCTTGTAGATCTTGCCAGAGTTTCATACTGTTAGCTACTATTGTGAAATATATGTTTTCCTCTTTTTTTTTTTAACTGTGTTACTCACCTGTTGTTCTTGACATCCAGATGTCATGTCAGTTTTTTCATTCTTCCTTCTTGCCCCTTCACCAGTATTTTGGTGTCTGCTTGATGTTTGGTATAAATCTGTCAGCTTTCTCACAACCTTAGGAAAGCAGTAGGGCTGTCTTTTACAGATGTAGTGACTAGACTGATAGGTCAGAGGCTTTATCTCCCATTTTCTTTGAGACAAGAACAAATGTAATGAACAAGTAACTGCTGTTGCAATGGACCTGTTAAACTTCAGGGCTTGTTTAGAAGAAGGAAAGAAACATCCAGACACATAGAACTGAAGCTGACAGGGATAAATCTTGTATTGAGTCTTGCCATTTTATAGTGTGATCTTCTTTATCTCAGTGGTTTGCTGGACTTTATCATTTGCCTTATGAATATCTCTGCTGAGATATAATTCTCCATTTTATACTCCAAGAGTTGATGTTACCTGAGCATCCGTTTCATGTCTTGATAACTGCTGCATCATACCTGTCTGCTTTTCTATGCAAACTAGCTTGTGTAAAGACTACATGCTGGCTTTTTACAAGTTTTTTTTCCCCTTTATTTTCTTGAATTTACTCATATGACTAAAGGGTAGATGTTTCTCCTGCCATTTTAGTGGTGTTGGGGCCTAAAGAGTATTGATCTTGCCAGCATTATGTTGGTTTTGGCAGAACTGTTAAGAGGGAGTTGCCTTCAATGAGGAGTAGTGTTAAAATGTATTAAGCCATGGCAGACTGTATGTTTTGGTTTTATGACTTTGGCATTATGTCCACCAGTTTTATGACTTTGGCATTATGTCCATCAGTGCAGTTATCTTCTGTAGTGAAGGACTGACACAGCAAAAAAATCTCTTCATTACAGTTACCAAATCTCTGCGTGTATCCTTCTCCACTGTTCCTTTGCACTGTGAAGAGTTAGTGTTCTGCAGCTGCATTGATGATTGCTCTATTTGCAGTTTAAATCCGTTTCCTTTCTTGTGTCCTGGTAGCTGACTCAAAGATCACTTCCTAGGGTTAAAGAATTGTTCCAGTAACCCCTCCCCTACCCATTCTTCCCCCCGCCCCGCCCCGCAAAGTACCTCGTAATATTGTCATGTAAAGTGTGTATGTCTGGCCAGGAATCTAGCAGGAGTATTTTCACAGCAATTCTTTCAAAGGAATGATGTCAAGCAGTGATATACTGCGGTAGATGGTGCAGTGAAATTGAGTTGTAAACAATGATGAAAGTCTGACCTTTCTCCAGCGGAACTGAACTTCCTCTTTGCATAACGTACTGTAACTCTCAGTATTCATATCTGAAACAAACTATCATTCTTCAAGTACTCTAGGCCATCCTCATCTTTAATCGCACTCATGTTGACTGTATACATCATATTCTTTGCTTGTCTGCTAAGAATATGATGATAGTTGTTGAATAAGGAGCTAATTGTAACTTGTTTTTGTACTTCCGCCTCCATCCGCCCAGTGCTTTATTTTTGGTAACTGACTTTGTTCTAATATTTCTTTTCTAGATTGAAGACAGCAGTAATGCTAACTCTGGCAAGCAAGTTGAAGCGGGATGATGGTGTCAGAGGACCCCGTGCATCCAACCCAGCTTCTGATTCAACTCGAAGGGTGTCTGTTCGAGATAAATTACTTGTTAAAGGTGAAAGAAACTTATATTTAAGTATTTTCGGATTTACAGTTTTCAGGTGTGTTGCCACTAAACAACATCAAATTGCATATAAAATGATTTCCAGAAGTATTTTTAAAATTGCTTGTGACTTACCTCAGGATTTATGCTGTAGCGTGTATATATAGGTGTACGTTACATCTCCAACAGCTCTTTGCCTGTAGGGCACTTGTATACATTGAATAATGAAAAATGTAAAAAGCCTCCTCTTTACTCTGCAGAAGAATTAATCTCTCGTTGGAAACTGTGTCATCAATTAAAACATTATGACAAAAAAATTGTCACATAAGGATCACTAAATATATAGGAGGAGAATATCAATATATAAATATATAGGAGGAGAGACTTGATGGAAAGGTATTTTCTGAGCAAAAACATTTAACTGCCTGTGACAGGAAGGAAAGTCCTAATAGTAACATCAGTGTCCTGGTGGTGTCTAATGGTATAGATCAGAGGCAATAAGCTTAAAAAAGCAACGCAAAGATTTTTTTTTTTTTTTTGTAGGCTTGGAGTCACTGGATGTTGAATATGAAGTAATAAAAAACAACACCCTAATCTTTATAGCACCCTATGGTCTGTTCTAGAAAAGCTACTGTAGTTTGTTACTAGCTGGTTGTCCATTGGTGGAAAAAAACCCCAAACAAACCAACAACTTTGCGGCAGCTCTGGGTAAATGAGGTAGTTTGTGAGACAAAAATAAGCTATTTTATAGTAAAATTGGAGACAGCCTTTACCTGCTTTTCAGTTTTTCTGTAGCACAGATAATATTGTATTTGAAAATCCATAGGTGCTGGCACTTTGCAGTTACTGTGCACTTAAACCCTGGTTTACTCCCTCTGGTAATAGTTGAGTGTTTTAAGGCTTGAGCTGTGCAGCTTGATCTAGTGGCAAAGAATACGTTGTTTAGTTGACGTTTCTGCTAAAAATTATCAATAGCAAATATACTATTGTTCATGTGTAAGCTGTCGTGGTTAGGATTCATGCCAGTCAAATAAAACACTCATGTTTCCTGGTCTTATTTCAGAATAACTTGAGACTGACACTGATATATTTGCCCAAATTATATTGCCTAACTATAGCATTACATATGGCTTTTTCTAACTAGGGTAGATTCTGCCCTATAACTGTAGACTGGAGCAAGGTTTCATTGCAAATGCTACTGCCTCGGTGCACTGGGATGTGCCTCAAGCAAGCTGTAGGAACGTTATGTTCACAGTTTTCTCTCATGGCATTGTTCTGAGGACAAGGAAGTTTTAATTCACTTTAAACCCTGATGTGATAACTCTCACAAAGAGCTTGTTTTAGACTTACAGGCTGGAAATCCTCAGTTAACTCTAATTCTGAGGGAGAAAGATACCAGGCAGGAGGAATAAGCTCTTTAAGCAGGCTAAGCTACAAAGCCAAATTACTAAATATATATAATCTGAGATTTTCACTTACCTACAGTTGTAGACTTGAGGGGAAAATAGCAGTGTAACATAAATGTATTTCAACTACAATGTCTGGTATAGTGTGAGGTGCTGTAGGAAATTTTACTGTACCTGTAGTAAGAGCAATCATGTTTTTCACTTCTATGACTAAAATCTCATCTACGTCTGCAGGGGAAGAAAAGAATCTAAACTGGAGGAAATTAGTATTGACATTGTAATTGCTATGGTTACCATTAGCAAACCAGTGCAGACTTAAGTATTGAATGAGTTGATTCCCAAACTAAGAAATGTTAAAAGCAGATCACTGCTGGCATCTTTCTGCCAAGTGTGTTTTGGATTGTGATGTGTGTGAAAATTGTATCACGGGGCTCTCCCGAAAGAGTTGTAGGAGCACATTTCAGTCTGGTTAGAATGGTTTCTGGACCTAAATGGGACCTGACAGTAGAAGCAGATCACTTCAATATAAATAACTACACTGAAAGTGAGAGGAAAATCTAGTAGCTAGTGTGATAAAGACTTGGCAGGGATATTCTCTTTTAAGCTACTTTTTAAGCTAAACACAGACCGTTCAATTACAAAACTTTCTAGAACTTATTCCAGCTCTTTAAGATAGGTCAGCTGCAGCAGCATCTACAATGTTGAGAGCCTGAGTGAAGACGGACTTCTGATGGGGACGGTGTTTTTAAGTCACATGTAAATCTGCAGGAATGAGTTTGATAGGGAGTGCAAAGCTGCCTGCTAAAGGTGTGCATACAGCAAGGATGCTGTTGCATCTGGACCAGCGCCGGTGCCTTTTACTGCTTGATTTTATGGGGCTGTAATAGACTGGTGTGTGCTCAACTTGCACGCTGTTGCATTAGGTTGTGAAGCGAAGTTGGTGGGAGCCTGTAAGAGTTGTTGCAAGTAGAAGTTGTTGCTGATGTTTATTTAGGTTGAAGTTATCAAAGAAACAGATGACAGTTGCAGAATGGGTAAAAGGCTCAATCAGGTGAATCCCCTGGCAACTGTGAATTAAAAAATAATCTGTTCTACAAAAAAAAAAAAAGAAATGCTGACTGTCAATATGGGAGGAAGAGGAGATGAGAAAAGGCCCAGCATGTTCTGTCCTTGTTTGCCCCAGCAGCTGTGCTGAGGTTAGTGCTGGTTAGGTTGTACCTCTTAATGGTAGTACTGGTGGTTTTATTCTACCATATAAAGCCTCTGCATTGAAAGAACACGGGACTGTGGTCACATACATTGGAAAACTCGGTGATAGCTATGCTCTTTCCATAGCACATATGGATCCTTTTTGGCCTCAAATAAGTCTATAGCTTCTGAGTCAATAGGAGAACAGAGGGCAACTGGTCTGTGCAGCGTCCTTTACAGCAGCTTATGCATATGATGGGCTGTCCTGGAAGCTTAAACTGAGGGTGATTTTTTTTTTTTTTTTTTTTTGGCACAGTACCTGAAATCCTGCCTGGCCCTGGGAGCTGGCGATAACATATGAACCAAGGTCAGATAGTTGTTCGCCAACTTGAGCGATGATGTGCTGGAAAGATACTCTCCTATTGCTGATCCACAGTAAATTGGTGATAGTCTAATAAATTCTGCAGACAGATGTCTGCCAGTTTTACTAGAGGTATCATCCAGACACAGACAGTGTCTGGTTTTTGTCTGGAGGTAAATTAAAGACAGCCTTGTTTGTGTTGATAGAGAGTCCAGTCCAGGAAGGCATTATAGGATCTCTTTGAAGGATGTGTTGTCACGCTGATAACCCTGCAGTCCTCAAATGTATTGTGTACGCTGACTGCTAAATAGACCAATGCTGTTTTGATTGTGGGGTAGATGGCTATGACCCCAGCTGCTGATAAGTCTAGGCAATGCTTACAAACTTTTAAAAATTTGGCGTAGACCAACTACCTATGTCTGCTAACTGATATTGCCTTAAAGTAGAAAAAATAAGTGATAGTTTAGGTGTGATGTTACCTATTTGCATCATACGGATGAGAAGAAAATTCACAATCAGCATTTGAAATACTTGTACTAAAACTGGGAGTATGTGGGCTATCAGCAGAGTGTTGTCAGGTGCTGCCCTTGGATTTAGTGATGGGTGCAAGTTAAACAGGCTTTTTTTTTTTCTTCCCCACTTCTGTGAAAAAGCTACTCTTAAAATACTAGTGCCCTTTGTCAGTTTTTTCTAATCTGGTCCTTTGATTGCTTACATGTCCAGTATTTTCAGATGTTCAAATACCAGTCATGGCTCAGGACACTGTTTTGTTGGGTTATTTCATGGACATATTATGAAAGGAAAAAATCTCTATCCCTAAAGCTTTATGTAGGGAAGTAATTCTGAGACAGCTGGATGTTCTATTCCAGCTGTTCTTCCTCTGGGGTGTTAGTCATGGTTGCTAAACACGATTTGGTAGCAGCCTGTCCCCTGCTGATTAGCTCAGCAACTAATGGAACACATTTGTGAGGTTAGCAGGGCACATGTGTCTGTGGTGAGGAAACACAGTTGTGGTTCTGATCTGAAACCCTGGGAAGTTGCAGGAAAACATCCACCACTTCGAAATCACTGAGGGCAGAAGTGTCTGAGGGTGTGGGAGGGTAAGAACTAGTAATTTGTGCTGACAGTTCTTGGAGAGGTGCTTTCTCGCCAAGGAAGAGTGGACTGGAGAGAGACCAAGCAGTGACTAACATGTTTCAAGACAAATCAAACGGAGGAAATGTGAACTAGAGAAGGTAGAAAGCAAATACTGATGTGGAGAGGGGGAGCAGACAGAAATGGTGCTTGAGGGAGGCTCTAATAAAGCACAACTTTGTTAAAAGTTCAATGCGACTTATTCTTGCATCTCTATTTTCACTGGATTTTCAATATAGGCTCAGTTGGAGAGTGAGGCCCTAATTCTGTAGACCTAGTACTCAAGTCAAAATAGAGCAAGTGGTACACTTGCTTTAGCAGCTTTCAATCTGTTCTGTGCTGCAGAGGCAATTTTTGATGTTGAATTTATCTCTCAGGGGGAACTGCGTTACATTAGAAACAGGGGCCGCATGACTGCTGCTGCAGGATGTTCTGAGCCGTGCAGTGCTGAACTTGAAAGCCAGATCCTTTCTGAAAATTTGAAGGGAGCTGAGGACAAGTCAAAGTACTATTAAGTTTAATACTGTATAATGAACGTGACTAGTAATTAAAGATAAAGAATATGCCAGGATATCAGTAGTATCAGTGATGTATACACTTATTGATCAGAAAGGTTATCCCTTGAAATGCTTTTTTCATAGCAATTTTATATTACCAGTGCTGCCTAGTTTGGTTGTAAGTGACAGCTTGAAATACCTTAGTATCTAAGAAAAAGAGTTAGCATGGTTTATTCCTCAGCTGTCTTCAACATTTGTGGGTTTTACAACCAAATTGATGTAACTGGGAAATGTTTCTGGTGTGCATTTGTGGGAAACGGATACCCAAAATGAGCTAAATGTGCACTGTAAGTAAAAATTCAGAGAATTCATGTGTTTTCTTTCTTCAAACCTTCAGGTATGGTAATATCCCTCCTCACAATAGCAGGTGAGGAAAACTGAGAGGGGGAAAAAATAATTTTTTTTTTTGAGAATTAATAAAAATCTTCCTTCATTAACTCTTGAAATTACTTGGGGCGTTGTTTTGAAAATGCTGCATTAACTTCTGCACATTGCACAACTTATATCACAAAAGCTTTTTTCTTTTCAGTGATTCTTCTTAGTCCCCCTTCTTCCAAAAGACGACAATGGAAACCTGCTTAATGAATGAGTGATTTATAGTTATCAAAGAGGAAACTAGTAGCTTACACTAAAATGCTTGCAGCCTAACTGGTAGATATTGTAAAGCCAAAAAGACACAAAAAACACTGAAGCTAATTTGAAAAATTATTCTGAAAAAAATACTTGAAAAATTATTACTGAGGCTTTTTCTCGGATTTCACTGACAAAGGGAGGCCTGGTTCAATGTATTCCTTCGCTTACGACTCTGATTTTCAGCGTACCTGAAGTATGAATTGCTTAATTGTAGCATTAGGTATTTCCAACCACAGTGTCTTTTTCTAGTTCTTGATGCCAGGATAATAAGTTTTGTAATAGTGTATAGAAGCTGAAGCATGTGATTTGATAGTATCTTCTTTAAAATAAACATTTGGAAGTGGAAGGAAAGTATACATCTCTTACTCTATCGAAAAACTGGCAGTATTTAGGCAGCTTGTTTGACTTCTAATACCAGTATGTACGGTTGAACAGTTCAGAGGGGCTAAGTAGGGAAAGCTGTAAAGGTAGATGGATACAATTAGGAGGCAAACAGCATTATACTGCTAGAATTAATACTTAGAAAATGGAGTTTTTGTTAGGGTGTCAAGGTATTTACCTTAATCTCTAGCAGTCTTAAAGATGCACGTTCAATGGGGGACCTAAACAGGAGAGGGAGGCTTTTTGGACAAAACCAGAGAGAAGTAGGTACTGCTGTGGATGAGAATGTTCATTTCAGTTGAGGAAATAATGCTTTCATTTTGTGTACATAAAAAACAAATTCCAGTGGGAAGCATATGATCTGACCCTTTGTGGCAAGGCTAGTAAACAGAGTACTTCTATATTTTTGACTTGTTGAGTTGGGGTGAGGGAAGGGGAGGAAGCAGAAAGTGATTATAGTCTGTGCGTTACTGAATATAACATTCACTTGGGTCTCTCATAAACCATATGCCTGTACACACGTCAGGAGTGTGTGTTCCTATTTCTGTCGTGAGCATTGTCATGGGTAGGGAAAAAATTGTTTGTGAAATCATTTATAAATAGCTCTGGCTGCTTCTGTTAGGCTTAGCTTTCCCCTGTTTTGTGAAGTTCCTAAGCTGCTTCTGAGACATCATCAGTTTGCATTCAACTCTTTCAAAGTCTGTGGTAGGTTTAAGTTTACCCTTTGCCTTTTTCCTCTTTTTATGGTTTAAAGTAGCATTTGGAACTGTTCAAGCAAATGCATACTGGGTCAAGAGCAGTACTCGGCAAAAATACCTGCTACTTGGGTGTGTTCCTGCACCAAATAAGCAAGATTTCAGGAACACCAGACGGGTGGTTCTGGGCTGACTGCACCCAAGTTTGTTCCCTGCAGAAGCTCTGGCATGTGTCTGCACTTACACTATGGCCTTTTGGACCTACCTGGGAGGGCTTATCAGCATGTGCGCATGGCCTTGCAGCGCTCCTGTCTTAGCTGCTGCTTGTCAGTCAGCCCTCTTGACTGCAGGAGGAATTGCGATGGTTTGCAGTGTTTCTGCATCTCTGCTAGCGCAGTGTTGAGCAGGCATTGATGAGAACTGGTTTCCCATGGAAGTTCTGGGGTGCTTCCACAGAATATTTCCTGACACTTGGGTTACCCAATGGTTTGTCTCTGCATCGTAAGGAACGGAGAAGTGCCTGGCTGTGAGTTGAGACACAGGTACTGGTTATCCACAAAATGTTATCAAAAGCAGTCAAATTAGATTTTCTTTATTGTTCAGCTGTAGTTAAAGTTATTTTTTCAAAGAGGAGGTCAGAAAGGTTGTGAGATTAAGTTTGTTCTTTAATTTAGTGAGGCTTTTGGAGCTCTTGGAAGTTCAGTGCATTGGAGCTCTAATTGTTGCTTCTAAGCTCTGCTTATTTACAAAGCTGTTGAACCATGCCAATAAGTTGGCAGACTGCACAGGGGGCATTTTCTTCCAGAGAATATTCTTGTCAGTGGTATTGCTTTATGTAGAAAATACATAACTTAAAACATAAGAATCTTAATGGAGCTTGAATGCTGTGGTCAAAATGTTTGCTTTCTGAACAGCAAAATAGAAAAATTATTTCAATGTCAAGACTGTCACTACCAAAGAGTCATAGAATTTGGAAAACTCACAAACACTGTAGCTTTGACCCATGAAATGTGCTAGTTATTGTTAATCACCAATGTTTATATGGCACAGTTGACAGTAACATCTGTTTCCTTACTTGATGTTACTTTAAAAGTTTAGAGTATCGAAGCAGGTCTTCACCTGCTCTCTTACCTTTATGAAGTTGTTTTGTTCTTAGTTTCAGTGGTTTGTTGCAGAGTTGATTAGAAAACTTAATTTTGGGGAACTTGCCTTTGTTCACAAAGCTTTTGTGTGGATTAGTTACCATAGCCTTCTCACATCTTTGCACACCTTCAAAGAAAGAGCATGCTGTTCCATACTCATGGGTGTGAGCACCTTCATTTTCATGTTTTCACATGAAAACTCGCTCATTCTTGTGCCAAGGCAGAGGGAAGCGCAGAAGTGCGAATGCAATACAGGAAATGTTTCACACTTCAAAGGAGCTACGGTGATCAGTAAACTCTCTACTGAACCTTGCAGGAGGCAGAAGAGAGGCTGCACCACAGAAGAGCTGCTGCAGCCCAGCCATTGCTGGGTTTGAACATGCTTTGTCCTTCGGTGCCTTCCTTTTCTCTGCTGCCCTTCTCTCAGAATTGAAGCAAAGGGCGAGCAGGATTCATTAAGCTGAACAGCACACAAGCACAGAAAGCAATAGGGAAAGCAGTCAACACCTTAAAAATAAGAGCCAAGTCCTAAACTCTATTGTCTAGTGAAGATTGATAGTGCCTCCCACTATGAAAGGCTAGTGAGTTTGAAGAGCAGGGGATGGGGGAATACTCTGTATGATGGGTTTGTATAGCTGCAGCCTTCAGGAGTTGGTTATGTCTTGTCTGTCTTTTTTTTTTTAACTAGAAAGGGAAAATAAAAAACAAGTTCTTAATTATAGCTGAAATTACATTTTGGTATGCTTTAAAGACAGTACTCTCTGAGAACTTCTAACAAAAGTATTCCCCCAGTGTAGTGTGTCTTTCAGTGCACAACTTTGGGTAAACCAGCTGTGGCTACTTGAGTGCTGCAAAGAGTGCAGTTGTGAACTTTTTACGTAAAAGTGTGAAACACAGTGCTGTTCTGTTTTGGTGGGGTTTTCTCTCGGTATAGCAGGCTGCAGATGCAGGGATACCAGGGCTGTGCCAAGCAAGGAGGTTCTGGGGAACTAGTGATCTCTTGGTTGTGATGAGGTCAGTTTTGTTTCTGTGCCAAGAAATCACTCCCTGTATCTTAAACCGCATCACAATTTTCTTTAGACATAAATTTTTGAGAGTTGATGTTGAAATCTTACACATTGTTGTTAGCCCAAATAAATGGACTCTGTGTGTGTGCAGGCCAGAAAGCAAAGTGGAAAAAAAGAGTACAGGAAGTGCAAAAATGTAGTTGATTAGGTTTCCTAGAACTTTAGAAGTAAAAAGAGGCGATATCTTGATGCATCTCATTCATACTTGAAATGAAAGTTGAAATCTTGCTTTCAATAAAATACACGAAAAAGGGAGAAAGTAGTGAGCCAGAGAAAGGGCTTGGGGGTAAACTTCCTAGGAGCTATGCAGCTGCATCTGTTTACTTTCTTTTTGAAGTTTTATGCATGGGAAATACAAATAAAAGAAAATTTTAATTGAACAAGAGTGCGTATCTATAGCAAACGATGCTACCAGGGGAAATATCCAACAGGAACAAAAAATCTTAACAGTGACTTTGTTCAACAGCGCAGAGGTTTCGGAGGAGTTGTGCAATGGATGCAGTTGTGTTTATCAGTGACTGGTGCATGTTGCTGCGCTGGGTGCTTGAAGTGAAGGTTTGTCTTTCTCTGTTCTTTCGGTGCTCCTAATGCTGGTTTCTGCAGGCAGGACCACATCTGGTAAGACAGTGCCCTGGGACTAGGGTTTCGGTAGCTGTTTCCAAGGGTGCAGTACATGGTTTTGTGCTTGGAGGCAAAAAAAGCCTCCAAAGCAGTGTGTAACCTGAGGCAGTCTGGAGCTGGTGGTGGAAGAGCATTAGCAGTTAGATGCTGGAGAGTGGTGATGCTTATGTGAACTGCCTGTGCTTGTTTTTATTATTGGACTGGCGTCCTGATTCTTGAGGTTTTTCTGCTCTTGTTTTGCAGGCTGTGGAGTTACAGCTTTCCATATTTTAGTGCCTTGTGTAGACGAGTTTGGAGGTTTGGATAATGCCACCTTGTGAAATGCCAGTGCTCTGTATTAGGAGCCCTGGCGCTTCAATCTCAGCAGGACTGAACCTCCCAATCACACTAAAGATATGTTTGTATTGTCTGTAGGGCAGCTGAGTGTTTTTAATAATGAATTGTGTGTCTTAAAGAGAAATTTCAAGGTAAACCTCCAGTGCAGCTTAATATTTTAAAGTGAAATTTGATTTACAGAGTGGTTAAAATTAGATCTGCCAATTTGGACTTCAGGAGTGGCTTTATGCTTGCATAAATAACAATTTGTTTTTTTTCTTTCAACAGAGGTTGCAGAACTTGAAGCTAATTTACCTTGTAAGTATAGCATTTAATGGCATGCATTTTAAGGGGAAAAGGACCACTGAACTGAATGTTGTGAGTGAAGCATGAATGCTAATGGTATTTGTTAACTCTAGGGAAAGCTGTGCAAAACTCTGAGACCCAGTCTTGAACAGCTTTTCTTTGATGCTCCCTCTTAAGAGGTTGTGGAGAAGTGGATCCCTTATTATTGGAAGCAATATTGATCATTTGGCTCTAGAATTTGATTTGTGGTAGAGTGGGAACTTCTCTCATAAAACACCCAAAAGGTACCTGGAACTATAAATGGCATTTACTGCCTCACTACTGTTTTTCCTCCATTCTGTCATTTTCAAAATGGGAGATGCTGTTTTAAGGGCAGAGCAAATAGCTCTGTTCTCAGGAAACATAGTAAATCAGCCTAGTGCTTTTTTGCTTCACATCCAAGCTGTAACCCGATGTGTTTAATAGTGAAAAATAGTTTCATGAAAAATAGTTTTTTTAAAAAGTGATCCATTTTCTTTAAAACCCGCCCCCAAAACCCAACAAACCCCAAAAGGCAACATAATGTGGTTTTAGCCCTGGAATCTTTCTTATGTATGTTACGCTGAAAGCTGAAAATATTAATGGCCACTTTTAAAATAGGCTTTTAAGAGCACAGGGTAAATGGCTTGTTGCTTCTAAAGCTGAGGATAGAGAGCTAAAAATCAAATACATGTTTTCTGCTCCTTAGCTTTAGAAAGCCTAGTTCTGCAATGGACAGCAAAACACAAAGCCCTTTATAAAAAGGGGACTACAGTTCCTACTGCTCTGTATTTGTTGCTATAAGGGTAGGTGTTGACAGTGAAGCTGAGTTGTTGCTGAGCTCCCTTTTCCTTCAAGTATTGACCAGAACAGCATAATTCTGCCATGAGTTCTTGGAATACAGGCAAGCACAAGAAGTTACTGCCTCATAAGCTCAGAGGTGCCTTCAGAGCCCATTGCTCATTCTACATAACTTCCTGTGTCCTGTGGTGCACGTTCCTGCTTCAGAGTAGTCAAAGATGTTTCCCCTGCAAGGAAAGAGGCATGAGCTCTTGCAGCAGCCTGAGAGTGTACGTGCAGGCTATTACTGTGCTGTGCATTCACACTGTCTTGCCCATATGCTTATCTTACAAAAAACAGCAGTGAATACTCTCTCTGATTACGCTGGCAGGTAGCTTGTGGTGTTTCTAGCCTTTCCTCATCTAAGGGAAGCTTTGACCATATTTTTTTTTCTCTCCAGGTTAAACTTCCAAGTGTTGCTTCTGATGAACATCTTCTATTTGCTAATGTTTTTAAATCCTGATCCATGCTCAGATCTCAAAAATCAGGCTTTTCAGTGTACAGACTGCCTGATGGGAGGAATTACAAGGGATAACAAATACAGAACAGAAGCAGCAAAAAGGAAGGGCCGGAAGAGATGTTATTTAACTCTTCCTTTCTGTATGCTCTTCTTTCTTAAAGGCAATTAGAGATTTCCCATAGGGTAATTTTAACTTTTGTTAAACTTTTTTGTGTAGACTCTTCTCTAGGATAATGAACACCTGAGAAATGTGTATCAGGGTTTGTAGTTACTACAATGCAAATGTATTACTAGAGTTTGTGTAGAGTTCTAGTTATTTTTTTCAGGCAAATAGCGTCTATGTCTCTTGATACAATTTAGCTCCTTGACTACAGGAGAAGAACAGACAGCTTGATGGATTAAGAAGCTAAAGGCTGCATGATATGGATAATAATGTATCCATGCATATATTCATCTTCTAGTGCCAGCTTGACAGCTTGTCTCTGCCATAGTCAAGAAAGGCCAGTTTTGTGCATGGGAAGGCAACTTAGTTTGTGTCATCAAATGTGAACAATGGGCTGTTATGCTGTGAACGTGCATCTGTTGTACTGAAACCACTGATGGGTTTCAGATTGATGTTTAATCTTTTTTTTTTTACACTGTTCTTCATTCTCACTATTCTCCTTAAATTCATCTAGTCTGAGAATAAAAACATAGTGTTTGGTTTGTAATGATGCTCCATAACCTTTGCTGTTAATGTGTGTAATTGGTTACGCAGAGGAAACTCATTCAATATGACAGCTGAACGGCTACTTCACTGGCTTTTGGATGACGTTTTCAGTAAAGCTTGTGTCTCATGTCTTACAGGGATAAATAGTCCTTTGTTAGCATAGGGCTGTGGTGGCAAGACTTCTTGCAGACTGCGGTGTATAATCAAATGTTAAGATACACACCTTACTATTAAAGAACTTTTAAGGAAGACATGCTCATTGTGTATGCTGTCATCTTAACATGTGGCTAGTATATATACAGAAGGCCAATTCCTTTGGCATTTTAAGGTCTTTGAGACAGTGTGATTTACTGAAAAGAAATAAGCTTCTTCCTCACAGCTCAAAGAAGTGAGTTCTGTTACTGTGACTGTATAATGGAAGAGGTGCTTAGAGACAAAGTGGCGGAGGAAGTCACTTGACTGGAAGGCAGGGATTAATCAGGGAGTGAATTCGGAGAGTATGAAAGATGATGTATGTGCTATCCCAACAGCGGAAAAACAATTGTTTGCTGTAAATTATTCTTTTGCTTCACAGGTACGTGTAAAGTGAATTTTCCTGACCCAAACAAGCTTCATTACTTTCAGCTAACCGTAACCCCAGGTAATTTTTTTAAACATGTTACTTTTGTTTCTGTGTGTGTTGGCGTTTAGGAAATGTAATTCCAAGAGTTTGCTCAAGAATGCAATAAACTTTCTAGTCAAAGAAATAAACCTCTAGTCAAGGCTGGCTGTAATACAGTGATTATTTCATAAAGTTAATGGAGAAACTGGGCTGGATTTTGAGAACTGGATTCCAATAAAAATGGCATCAAAATTGAGCAGGTTTAGGAAATACTCAGGTCTTTGGTCACTCTGAAAGCATTTTTTTTTTCTCTCAGCCAATTTTAAATCACCTGATTTTATTTGCTACCAAAATTATTGTATTACAGCCCTGTTATGTTGCAGATTTATTCTTTTCTACTGATTGCATGATTCTGCAGAGTTGAAAAGGTAGATGACACAAAACACTGCTGGAAAACTTCAAATCTATGCACATCTGAAGATGCTTAACAAGTAGGAGTCTCTTAGTATTTGAATATTCAAGCATGTGGAAATTAGATCTTTTATTATTAATACAACTTAAGTATACTGTGGAGCTTCTGCTGGCATGCTGTTCAATAAAAACAAAACCCCAGGACTACATTTTGGGAATTTATCATTTCCACATTTCTTAATAGCCATCTGAAATTACAGAGTTTGCTCACACGGCTGTCCATTTTAGAATAAAAAGTTGTGTTTGTGTTATATGGATGAATTTGCATGGCAGATTATTTAAACTTCACATGGACTACTTATTCTTGCTGTGCGTTACCTTTAAGACTGTGCAATTACTTAAATGAGAAAATTGATGTGTTCAGTACGCTGAATTTTTTGAGTTAGATGTGCTGGGATCAGTATCTCCCTGCCAATTACAATTAATACCTGTAGATGCACATTTTCTGTATATGCTTATTGGCAGCAGAATTCAGGTTCAGATGTACCGTGGCAGTCATTGTGTGGTCTTACCTGTAGAAATAATGATTTACACTTAACAGGGTGATAGGGATTTTCCTGATACTCTGGTATCCTGAAGTCAGACAGGCGCTAGATGTCACTGTTACTGCTCATTAGCCAAAATCAACTCACATTTCCTCGGCAATGAAAATCTTGGGTGGTCTTTGTTAACATGTCTATTCATGTGGCTCCTTTTTGAGATGGAAAAATGAGAAAGACTGCCCTAGTCCGTGTAATCAAAAATAAATGCAAGTTGTTGTTACCAAACTTTTAACCTCGCATCCTGTGTGGGAGATGTATTCATGTTTACTTGGCGAGTGTTAGTTTGCCTCCACCAAATGTCCTTCAGTTTATATGATGCTGCTTTATTATATTTTGGAAATGAGTTGACTTTGCAAGGCCATCACTGTGCGAGTTTGCTTCATATTCAAGACATTGCTATGACAGCTTCCTCATAGTAACTCTAAGGTGTCTAAATACTTAGTCCTTCTTTTGTCTGTCAACTGCTGTGCAGCGAGATGTTGCAGTCCGAAGACAGTCGTTGAGTACAGAGCATGGTTTTTGTGCTGGCTTCGTTGCTGAAATGATCTTAGGAATGAGAGGATCTTCATTAACATTTTGTTACACTAAATATAGCTGCACAGCTGAAGTCTCTGCAGTTGCAGTCTGACTGAAGTAAACATCTATTTTCAGCTGTGCGTAATTCAGGTACAGAATCTTGTGATCAGTTACAGCTTAGCACAGAATGTAACACATATCAAGAAAATCTTTGTAGCTTTCCGATTCCCCTCATTATTGAGGTTTTTCTTTGTAGTATGTTGAATCTTAGTTTTCTTTGGAATAACAGAGGCAGCTAAGTGGTTGTTACGGAACTTTTCTGGCTGAAATGGGCCAAAATCTTTGCTTCAGGCAACTATTTTTGCAGCGTCTAAACAATGTTGCATGAACCTTGACAGTCTGGAGTTAAGAGCCAGTTTTCCTTCTGCCTGGAATTGTCTCTTGAATTGAGGTGCTGAGTTACTTCTAGAAATCGTGCTTATACATCTGGCTCTAAGGGAGTGCTTTGCGAATATCTCTGCAGCTTTCCAATCGTGGAACAAGAGCTGGGCTCAGCGCAGCTGCCGGTGCCAGGGAATATCTAATGCCGCCTTGCTGTTCTCACTGTTAGGAGCTGTATAGCACGTGTGCATAAGCCTGCACAGCGAAGAGGTTCTTGCTGCCTCACTTCTTGGGGTTCTCCGTTTGCTTACCTGCAGTTACAGAGACTGCATCCTTCTATGACAGATCTGTTACAGGGTTGCTAATTATTTTATATTCATATTTTATGTTTAAGTGCTGTTACATTCTGATTAACATCAGAACTTGAACTCTGTAACCACGTTTTGTAAGGAATCTTATACCAAGGCAGTTTCTGCAAGTAGCCGGCTGCCAGGGTACCCTGAAGGTACTGACTGAACATGTTTTTTAACACAGAAATGCCTTTTGCGGTTAATGTTGTAGCCTTATGTTATTGACAAAGCTTGTTCTCAGGTCTTTATTTTATGCAGTCATTTTGAATGTGGCTGGTCCTGAAAGGACAGTGAAAGAAGCTTCTTTAGGTTCTCACAAAAAGACCAGTTTGAATAAGAAAATATTACCACCAAGCAGCAATACTTTCAGCTCCCTTGCTCTGCACTTCTTGTAATAACTTTTCTTAGTAAGTATTTAATGTCACAAAATTACCCTGGTGACAGTTTCAAATTAAAATGAATTTATAGAAAATCTTGGTGAGGGTGACTGCTTATTTCACATGAAAAGTTACTTGTCCTCAAGAAATTCCGATCCCTTTATGTTACAGCTTTCTGCAGTGCACTGTGAGTGGATGTATAGTAGTACACGCTAGAAAATGGGTAAGACTTAGATTTTACTGCCACAGTGGACAAAATGTGTGCTCTTGAGGCAGATACTGGTGGTTTTCTCTGCTCGTTGAAGCTTCTTTTTCCTTTTGTCATCTGAAACAATTGTTCTGACACGGAAAAATGCCCTTATGCCACCACTTGCCTCCATTCTTATTTTTGTGCCAGTACCTTATTGTGTCAAAAGCTGGGAAGAATAAAGGAGATAAATGCTTATAACACAGGTAGAATCTTGCCTGCTGCACTGATATTTGGAGCACAAAATTGGAAGCTAAGGCTGGAACATGGTAATGACCTGGAAAAAAAAAAAGGTGAGTTTAGGTAGCTTGCACATGAGGAAATCTAGAGGAGTATGTATGGTTAATGCAGTTTTCCTGCAGTTCCTGGGCAGCTGGGGTAGTTTGGGGCTAGTGTGATTTATTTTAGAGTTTGGGATAATAATAAACTCTATTATTTTAGAGTCCTGTTCTTCAGGGAATTAATAAAGAGCCTGTTTTCTGTTTTGCGTGTCTTAAAATGACAAATGTCGGTGAGCATGGCTGAGCATTTCAGGGCTGCTGATTCAAGGAGCTACTATCAAAAGCACATCCTTTGTGGCCTGTCCTAATTATCTTGCATTTTCTTTTAAAGTGATAAAATAATTTAGTTTAGTATTTTCACAGACTTTTAGCCATTAAAACACCTTACAAATGCAAACTAAGATTAGAGTTATGTTGTTGATAATGAAACTCCAGACTGAAGTGGGAGGGATGCTTGCCCTGTAAATACAGCTTGAAGACATAAATTTAAGCAGTAGGAAGAAAACTGAAGCTCAGACATACTCCCTTTTTGCAAAAGTCTCGTCGGTGGCCAACTTCCTAAGTTATGTGCTAAAGTTATTTTAGCTGACTGTTTTATTTATAGCACTTTCCTCACTATTAACTTTGCCAGAACTTCAGTTTTTTCCCACCACTATTGCATGCCTAAAAAGTTGAGGGTCTTTGTCCCAGTCTGTATGGGTGTTGTGGGACACAGGGAAGGAAACAACTGTGGGATAACCTATTTACTTGCTTGAGACGCTGTTTATCTTGTTAATGCATTGTAAGATTTCTGGCTGAGTACTGAGGCCCTCCGGAGATCTGAGTTTTTAATATACGTTTGAGTGATTGGTGATGAGTAGCATGCTTTATTGTTGCTTTAATGAAAAGATTTACAAACATACAGGGAGAATTGTAAAAAAGGGGGGAGGAGAGATGCTTTACTCTTTAATCTGGGAAATATGTCCTTGCTTATTTTATAACAGAACCAGTAGTGTACCCAGAGCATTTTTTGGTTAGTGTTAGCATGGATTGATGCCAAGGTCAACCTGAAATGTAAAATGAGTTGTATTGCAAGGCAGTGATGAGTATGGAATTGTCTTTGAGGGAGACTTGGTCATGTAAATATGTGCAAATGACCTGCAGTGTGAGGTACGACGTGTAAAGCGCTCTAAGTTGTACAGAGATTTCTCAGCCTTATGCAGAACACAGAAAAACAAATAAAAGAAAACTGAATACATGAGGAGTGTCTTGCAGTCTGTGGAGGTGTCGATATGCGGTTAGAAAGCGCCTGAGCTAATCTAAAACATGTTTTTGCTAAGGAAAATGGGTGTTCTTTCACCGTCTGGTCCTGCCACTTCTCTTCTGCTGACACCGGTGTTAATTTAACCCCTCTGCACGCTAGTTCATCTCGGTAATCCTGCAGGAAACTGCACTCTTCTTGCAGTGATGGTTTTATACAGTGAGACAGGCTCAGCTGGGCTTTTCCCCTCCAGCTGAACTTGCCTTGTCTGATTTCATCCTGCACATCGACACTGGGAGTTTCTGCCATGGATGGGTGGAAGTGGAGCTATCCCGAGCTAGGCCCACATGGTGGGGAAGAGCAGAGAAAATTAAGAACCAACTGTTCAGCCTTCCTCTCCGCCCCTCCCCGCCATGTGTCTCTTGAACAATGTCAGAGTGATCTTGCTGTCTGTGCTTGGAGTCAAGGACCTACCTTAATGTTCCTGCATGCTGCAGAGGCTGTGGGCTTGGTGTTTTCAGTGTGCAGAGACGTGGAGCACGGCTTTTCTCTTGCTGCTTGACTGGCAGGGATCTGACAGTCTTCTGGCAAGCTCTTCTCCCTTGGAGCTGTTCTTGCATATTTCTTTTGGACAACTGAATTACAGTGAGGATTCATTAAATCTGAGGATTTTCTTTGACATAAGGCACATGTAGATATATATCCATCAACAGGCATCTATTTCACATTAGCAGGGGTGGAATACAAAGAGCTGCTGCACATTTTGCTCCAAGCCTACAAAATTAAGGAACTTGTGACATTAAGCCAAGTAAAAGAACTTAGCACTGCTGGACTTCCAGAGCAACCCTAACAGTGTTGGTGTTTCTCCTTTACCTTGCTGTAGTGGCAGCAGGCTTCTCCGTGCTCAAACACATGTGGGTGTTTCATGGGATTGCTTATTTAGGAAGTGATAGCTTAATAAGTGCTTGTGAGCCAAAGGGCAGTGGGGAGGCCTGTGGAAAGCTTTGAGGTATGAGGTACATGGCTTGCACTATAACAAGCACTGAATTCCTGTATGGTGTTGCTTCTTTGTTTTCGCTGGAAGACTCGAGATATTTCAGCGGTGGTTTTACAAGGCATGGCATCATACTTGGAAGTAGTGAGGATTCTTGACACCTGGTTAAAAAAGCTGTTAAAATGTGCTAGATGGTGGATAAAGTGCAGTTAGCTGTGTCCTGTAGGGTAACTCAGTGGTGCTTCAGCTGTTTGAAGTCCTGGGGAATCATATAAGGCTTTGGGTTGGAAGGGACCTTTCAAGGCCATCTAGTCCAACCCCCGTGCAGTGAGCAGGGACATCTTCAACCAGAGCAGGGTGCGCAGAGCTCCATCCAACCTGACCTGGGATGTTTCCAGGGATGGGGCATCTACCACCTCTCTGGGCAACCTGGGCCAGGGTTTCACCACCCTCCCTGTGAAAAATTTCTTTTTTATTTCTAGTCTAAATCTTCCCTCTTTTAGTTTAAAACCATTACCCCTTGTCCTGTCACAACAGGCTCTGCTAAAAAGTCTGTCCCCCTCTGTCTTCTAAGCTCCCTTTAAGCCCTGGCAGCTGCAGGAAGGTCTCCCCGGAGCCTTCTCTGCTCCAGGCTGAGCCCCCCCAGCTCTCCCAGCCTGTCCTCCCAGCAGAGCTGTTCCAGCCCTCGGAGCATTGCTGGGGCCTCCTGTGGCCCTGCTCCAGCAGGTCCATGTCTCTCCTGTGCCGAGGGCTCCAGAGCTGGACGCAGCACTGCAGGGGGGTCTCCCCAGAGCGGGGCAGAGGGGCAGAACGCCCTCTCTCGCCCTGCTGGCCACGCGGCTTTGGGTGCAGCCCAGGTATGTTTGGCCTTCTGGGCTGCGAGTGCACATTGCCGGCTAGTGTCCAGCTTTTCATCCCCCAGTGTCCCTGAGACCTCCTCAGCAGGGCTGCTATTGGACCATTTCCCTAATCTTTCCTTCCTGGAACAGTCAGTGTCTTGGAGTGTTATGCACATTTGACAGGGAGCAGTTTCATCAAAAGGATATCAGTATAACTCACATCTTAACATCTCATTCTTTAGAAATGGCTTGCTTCACTAATTTTTATCTCAGTATATTTGAAAACAAAAGGTAAATGCTTTTATCTTGCTTCCCTGCCCACCCCCCCCAAAATCAGTGCTTGTGCATTTACTTTCTGGTAAAGCACAGCGTGCCTGAGAAGACTGCATAGTAAATCAAACACTTCAAAATTGTAGTGGAAATGGAGAATGTATTTGAAAAGCATATTTGCTGGACAGGTTATTAAAATGAGATTTGCAATGGCTAAGGCTTGCAGCTTTGCACTGCACAGATCAGTGTGGAGGCAGCTGTAAACATTACTGTGTAGGGTGGAGAAGACCAGCTGTGTTCTGTTTTCATACTCTGCACTTATGGTGCTGTTGCAGTCCAAAATATTTGATGCTGTTCATGTGCTGAACCTGTCAGTGGTCTCCACAGAGGCTCCTGGGAGAAACCAGACCATGGAATCATAGAATCTTTGGGTTGGAAGGGATCTTTCATGGTCATCTAGTCCAACCCCCTGCCATGATCAGGGACATCTTCAACTAGAGCAGGTTGCTCAGAGCCCCGTCCAACCTGACCTGGGATGTTTCCAGGGATGGGGCATCTACCACCTCTCTGGGCAACCTGGGACAGGGTTTCAGCACCCTCCTTAGGAAAAATTTCTTCCTTTCATCTAGTCTAAATCTTCCCTCTTTTAGTTTAAAACACTTTTGCTGTTCTGCAGGCACAGGTGTGAGAGTGGCATGCTGGGTGTAGTGTGCAGCTGAGTCTCATCTGTGTCAGCATCAGCTTTTAGTGTCTCGCTTCCCTCTACAGTTGAGGGTTTGTGGTATTTAAGAGGGTGATGCCCTCTCCTTTCAGTAAGTCAGCTTTTAAGAGATTGTAAAGAGGAGGCGGGTAGGAGCTGACTGCTCTCTTGTGATTATGGCAGTCACAGTGTGGAAGCTACAGGCTTGTGCTGACAGTGGTGAGATTGTAGCATGGAGTGAAACCTGAGCAAGTGGATGTGGTGCATTCGTTGGTAGGAGAAAATAGAAGGTCTTCCTAGATCTGTGCAGGACAGAGATGCCGTCCTGAAAGAGAATTGACATATAGTAGAGGGGCTAGAACTTGTTTGTGTTTTGAACAAGCTAGATAAGAAAACTCTTCTAAATCTTTCTGTAAACTATGGATTGCTTCACAGAACTTTCCTTTGCAATGTTTACTTTCAAAATAATATAAAGCAAACCCCACTCTCATACAATGACAACCAGCCTTCCTGACCCTCAAGCCTTCACCATGGCTGTGCCGAGTAAGAGAGCTTCAGTACTCAAGGTAGCTTGAGCCCGAGCGTTCTTCAGGTGTCCCAAACCCTCAGTGTGGGCTGTGTGCCTGTCTGTTTTCCTTTCTTAATGAAAAAGCTCAATAATGGCAATTCCAGACAGACACATTTCAGATCACTTGCAAGCACTTCCAAGCACAGCCCTCTCAAGAGTTGCAGGCTGACTGTTATCCTATTACATTATCTCAGGTTAAATGCAACTGGATATTTTCAGATTTCATATTTTAAAATTTAACCACTTTAGTAATTCAGTATTGAGTCTGAGTTCGACAGAGATGCGGGCAGATTTTCCTGACTGATGTATCATCCTAAGATAATTAACAATAAAAGAGCTAACTTGCTCTTTTATTGTAGTACACTCTGAAGCGTGCTCTTGCACACCATTATTCATAGTACTGACAATATGTGATGGCTAGCACAAGTCTGGGAAGATGTACTAAATCCTGGAGCAGGATTTAGCATGCATTAGCAACTGAAGTACATACCCAGCTCATTCCAAGGGCCGGTGTTGTGCTACTGCATGCCATATGACTGATGCGTGGTAGAATTTTGTTCATACAGACATGAAAAGCTCAATCAAAGGTTCTTCTGGCTTGGTATCACCTGGTACCCTGATCAGGAAGATGTTTTTTCCAGGGTTACTCTGGGACTGTAGACTTCTCTGATTTAAATTGATTTCTGCTGTGAAGGTTTTGGGAGCAGGGGTAGACACTATGTTCACACTCCCTTTGGTCTAGGATGCAGCTGGTGTTATGGTGTAACTAGGTTGAGTATTAGATGATAACCCTGTGCCATTGTTTTATCTTTGTAATGACAGATATTTTGTATTATATGGCATATGTTACTTTCTCTTATTTAACTATTTTTTGTGGTTTTTTCTTTGCTAGATGAGGGCTATTACCAAGCTGGAAAGTTTCAGTTTGAAATTGAAGTTCCTGATGCCTACAATATGGTGGTGAGTATTTGTCATTTATCTAGTAGTTGTGGCTTTAGATTTCCTTTCCAGGTTATAGGACTTGAGAGGGAACTTGGCATTGAGACTTAAGAACAGATCTTCTGTCTCTTATGAAAGTATCATGGATTGTAGAAAAATCCTGGTTGCCTGGAGTTTTTGGAGGTCACCTAAACTTCTGCTCAAAACTGGGGTGGTGTTAAAGTGGAATTTGGTTGCTGAAGGCCTGGGACAGTTGGCGTTTCAAAGTCTCTTCGGATGGAGATTCCAGTGCCTCTCTGGTCCTCTGTTCCAATGTTTAGTTACCTTTGTTGTGAATTTTTTTCCTGTATCAGGTCAGAATTTCCCTTTTTGCAGCTTGTCTGTTGCCTCTTGCTTTTTCACCATGCACATCTAAGAAGAGCCTGACTGTATCTCCTCTATACCCTCCCTTGGTTAGCTGTAGACAGCAATAGGGTCCCCACCTTCAGCCTCCTCCAGGCTGAACAACTCCAGGTCCCTCAACTCTCCTTGTACTGTGTGTTCTCCAGTCTCATCACCATCTTGGTGGCTGTCGTCTGGTCTCATTCCAATTTTTCAATCTGTCTGGTACTGGGGAGTTCAAAATGGGACACAATATTCCAGATGCACTGTCATGAGTCTCAGGGAGTGGGAATAATAATTTCTCTGGCTATTCTGTTGCAGTCCAGTGCTTGTCACCAAATGGCCTTGAGGCTTTTATTGCTTCAATGATACTATTCCTTAAAGAAAAAATAAGTGCACGAGTCAGACTTGAGAGTTTCAGTTCTGGCTGAGGTTCCACTCTTGTCAATTCTCGCTGCTAATTATTCTTGAGACCTGCACTTAATGATTATTCTTACAAAAAATTATATCTAAGAGAAAAAATGAAATAGGTTGACAGGAAAAGTTGTGGGGTTTTTTTTGTTTCTGTGGTGCCTTCAAACTGGTGCTTGTAATTCTGATATTGGATTTAGGTGCTTAATCCCATTTGAGAGCATGCAGTGGAGGATGTGGGAAGCACAGATACAGCCACAAGTGGCCTCCTTTAGTGCACTCTGCCAGTTCTACTGGTTGTCTCCCAGGCTGCCTAGGTAATTATCTTTAAAAAAAATAAATGGTTATTAAGCAAACAGCTTTTCAGAGGACCCACAAATGATTGCAATGTCATATTATAGGTAAATAGAAAGCTTCAGACAGCTTGGCCTTTTCAAGCGCAAGAAATGTTGGTATTTCATCATTGTACTTTACTAAAATTGCAGAACCTTGCAAGGGAGGGGAGGTGCAATTACAATAAAAATAACTTCAGACATTGTTTTCAAAATTTAGCTGTCAAAAGAAGACGACGGACTCCAAAAATGGAAACCAATTGGGGCACATGTCTTGTTCTCAGGAATTATATCTGCCGTTCTGTGTCCCAATAGCTTAATACGTAAGGAAACTAAATTCATTTGAGTGTTTGAGTTGCAATATTTGCATTTAGGTATATGAGTTGCAGTAAGAAGGAAGTCGCCTCTTCTTTTAGTTTGAACAGTTTGTAATTTTGCTTTTGTAACTTTTCTTCCAATCCTTCTGCTTTCTGTTTTCTTACTTTTGGCGTTGGTAGTTAGTTCAGAACTCTTCTCTTGGAGAGGCTGAAGCACGTGCGTGGGATGATACTAGAGAAATGTGTCTGGCAAGACCTTTGACTTTTGTGTTCAGATGCACCAAGCCTAAATCCAGCATCCTATATATGTAGTTGTTGCTGTCACAGCATTGTTTATATACAAATATGAAGGAGGTGCAGTGGTCTGGAATGTAATAGCTTGAATTCCCAGACTGAGCTTGGAGAACAGAGCATTGACACTGCTAGTAGAGTAGAAAGGTTATGTTTCTGAAATCAGGAGTTGGGTCTGCATTCCAGAAGATGCCTTCACAAGTTTCCTACTATCCCTTTATTTATAGTCTACACATACATGGGACATGCACTGTATCTTATAAAAAGCTCATGCTAGTAGAGGACTATAGCAATTCTAAAAGAACTTTGATTTTTTTATTTTCCCCTCCTCCTTTTTTGATAGTTATGCTCTCATTTCATAGTACTATTATACAATGATTACCTGCTCAAGCTATTTTTTTATTTATTGTTTAGGATCTTGGCTGTCTTTATTGATATACTGTCTAAAAGTACATGAACTAATAGTGTTTGCAGTTGTATGGTTTTCATTGTGGGTTTTTTTAAGTTCCCCTTAACCTTGCCAAAGAATTTCATACTGTAGTACAGGCCACTCTTACTACCTTGTGTAAGGTTACACACACACTGTAAAGATAGAGGTGGTTGTTTAAAGCCGATTACATCATTGTTCTAACTTGAATAAACTGTGCCATTGCATACCTGAGAAGGATGGCCTACAGTATAAAGGGGGAAACCTTGTCATGTTCTCTGCTGTCTAATATTTAGTCATCTTCAGTAATAGTAGTTTACCCGCTGTGACAATGCTTGGGCACAGAGGAACACACAAAATATATACTCATTTTATTTTCTTAAATTTTTGTGTTTAAGGTGTTAACCTAAACACTGCTGCAGGAAAGTATTTCCTACGTCTTAACAGGAGAGGAGAATGTTAATTTTGATCTTTTTTTTTTTTTATTCTCAAATGCTATGATTAAAAAAATCTTCTAGTTTGTTATGGTTCCCTGCTCAGCACTGGCAGAAAATTTACAGCAAATGTTAATTAGATATTTTTAAATTCTCATTCAATACAAAAGTAAAAAGTTTGCCTTTGTGCAATTTAGGAAAAAATGCAGTAGCTTCAATGTTGGTTTATGGTCAGGTTATTAATGAAAATGTGTATGTTCACAAATATTGAGATAATTATGCTGAGGCCATGGTTTGTTTTCTGCCAGGCAGAATAAAAGTGAAACAAGTGCTGACTGTTTTTATAGAGCTCTTCAGACCTGCCAGTGCTCCTTCAGCCCATATGCAAGGTTGGGATACCACACATCTGTGTCAGGCTCCTTGCAGTAGTGCTGAACATGTTTGCGTTGGGAGTAAAAATACCGGACAAGACTGGCAAGTCACTACAGCCGTGCTTCAGAGCCTGCATCCATTTTCTAGCTAATCTTTTTAGCCTGAAAAAAACCCCCAACCTAACCATCTGTTTTTAAAGCTACAAAGTGCATATTTTATAGTATAGTTTCTGTAACAGCATCCTTTAATTTCTGTAGCATGCTGTTGCCAAAATCCTGCATGTTTGCTGCTCGTCTGGGGAATTCTTTTTTTGCTCTTCATTCCTCATAAGCATTCCACTTCTGCACTCAGTTCTATAGAATAGTGGTGTAGTGGGAGAGTATAAGAATATATAATTAAAGAGGGAAAAACTTGGAAGGTTTTGTGTTGTGGACTGCAGCCATGGCGTACTACTCTGCCCAGGGAGTAAAGCATTGGAGGCAGATTCGGAAAGTAGTGAGTGTGAATACAGAGAAGTAATGTATCCTCGTGCTTTAGGTGTGACCGACTAGGATGTACACCCACATTTGGTACCTGGGCTATGAAACTCCTTAGTGCAAAGGTTTCAGAACCTAAAATGTGGGAGGGATGCTTTGGAGCAAGCGCTACTGTGAAGTGCTACCTCTCACTTGTGTATAGAGCACACAGCTGGTTAGGCTTTAATCAGACTTCTGTACCACTGAGTACTGAATATTGGAAATGTTTGTTATGATTATCTATCTGTAAAGCAATAAAATATTATAAGGATTCTTCCACTGTATCCGTAATTAACTTCAACTTACTTAAGCTGTTGGGGAGGTGGATAATTTTAGAAGCATCTGAGCTTGAGAACTGGAAAGAGTTCCTATTTTTAATGAGCTATTGGAGGCATGAGGATGGTTCAGATAATTTGTGCTACAGCACTGGCAGTAATTTGTGTCACCCCACTCCTGCAGGCCAATGGGCTGTGTTTCAGAAGAGAGGTAAGAGAGCTCACCATGGGCTTTTCCTAAAGCAGTGTGTTCCTCAAAGAGGGATCTCTTCTAATGCCATCCAATGATGAAGTTTTTGTTGATGCTGAATTAATACTGTAATTGAGCAAGTATTGGTGTTGATTGTGATGAACCAAGCAGTAATCAAATGAAATGGACCCGGTGGTATCTGGTCCGTAAGCAATCTTTCTCCTACACTGCTGCTCTGCGAAGGCAACACCCAGGTCGCCTGCCTCGGTAATCTTTTTGGGTTGGTTCAGTTAGCACACTAATGAGTGCTTGCTGCTGTTGGCTTAATGTTTTAATATTTACTCTCTCTAGTGTTCTCCGTTAAATATCTTATTGCCTGATTAAGGCAGACCTGGATTCTTCATATTTTCTTTCTTTTTCAGTGTTAGTGTGAAACTACTACAAAGAACCCCTAACATTAAAAGTTATTGCTCCCTCTTTAAACTCCCATATTAGAAATGGGGCCAGAATGAGGAATTCTGTTCATCCTTTTTCTGTGGTGCCCGAGCGAGCAGTCAGGTGATGCTTCCTGCAGCCCTAATGAAGGAATTAGTTGGTCACGCTCCCAGGGACACAAACATATAAACATGGTCCTGAATGGAGGGGCCTCTGCTTTTCCAAAAAAATCCCAAAAGGAGCACTTCATTCCATACATGCCCCAAAAATGTCTTCCGAAAGGAATTTGTGCACCGTGGATCTGTTCCTTATATAATCTTCTGGTTCAGGATTTTTGGAGCCTTGGGAAAACCTGGCACTGCGTCTACAGAATCCTCTGCTCAGATCCAATCTCTTTCACACCCATGGCTTTCTCGATTTTATTTTTATTTTTATTTTTTATAGTACTGTTTTAGGGGCATGCCATGGGTGGAACCAGTAGGCTTGAGCTTTTGATGTTTTCTGGACTCAAGTGTAGTTCTTCCTGTAAGTGCTGTCCCTGTTCTGAGTACAAAAAGGAGGAAAAAAAAAAAAAAAAAAAAAAATCATCCTGAGAAGCCTCTTTCCTTCTAAAGTTGAGGCTAATCTATGTGGAAAGATACTATGGTGAGAAAAGTAAGGGTATTGGGATATTGATATTTAACTTTATTTTAGGGCATTAAAAGTATTTGGAAGATCAACACTTAATTTATCTGTTACCTGTTCTGAACTGCTTTTAAAAGTTTAATTTTTCTCAATTATTCTGTAAAGATAACTGCTAAAGTACTAAAAGAAATTTCAGTCTCTACTGTATGAGGGCTCCCTCCTGTCCCAGGCAGTTCAAAACACTTCATATTTCATGATATTTGGGAAGAAAAATGGCTAATCCCTGCTTGCATATCCATATGTGCCTAAAACTGCCCTTAGTACTTTGCATTCTTTCCCAATGTGCTGTCCTTTATATCCCTAGCAGGTGTACAGGGTGAAGGAAGGACTACTTTAACAATGTAATGTATTATTTACCAGATAGCCTGTGGAATCTTCTTTGGTGATGGGATATTGTGTCAGAAGAGGAAGCAATTAGTACTGATACAGCTGTTGCAGAGGGATCATGAGAAGAAAACTGGAGCAGGGTTAGTTAATTCTGTAGCGTCTCCTCAAACTACCATGCCATTAGAAATACTAAAATCTGTTGGTAAACCTGTCACTTGGCATTTTAGAGTATTCTTGTTAGGAAACAGGCTGTGCATTCAGGAGCTTTTGTGTAAAGCAAACAGAATTTTGTTAGTGTTTGTGCTTACAAAACCTGCCAGGAATATTGCTGTCCATACAGACAGCAGAGGAAGCTGTGAAACAGCAAGCAAAACATTTAATGGTATACACAGCAAATACCTTTAGCTGCTGCACGACCTCTGTCTCTGCAGCATGTGTTCCTCAAGCCCTGCTTTTCTGGTTGACTAGTTGTCCAGAAGTAGAGGTTTGTGGGAGATGGGAGCAAATGTTTTAAAAGAAGAAAAAAAAATCAAGTGACTGAGAGATTAATTGATTAAAAAAAAATCAACAAGCTTTCTTTTCTCCCTTGATGTGCTACGAGAGTAGGGACCTGGTGCTTCAAGGAGTGGAACCTGATTAATACAGTACAGATCTGGTTTAATGTTCACATGAATTTAAACTGTCTGCCACTGCAAGCTGAGCCAGGTTTGCAGCTCCCCTGGTTCTGACGTATCATCTTGTCCGAGTAGATAGTCTTGGGACTCTCTAGTTTACTTATATTTTTATGACATGTTGTGCCTTTAGGCAGTGGTCAAAAGCTGGGAATTTAACAGCAAAGCTGCTAATCTTGGCCCTTTTTCTGGCCAATATTTTAGTTGTGGAAACAGCAAACAATTGAAAGGGAATTGGCTCCTGGAAGATCAGATGTCACAATTAAGGGGTTTCCATTTACCTCTTTGGTGACCCTACTTTATACAGGTCTTGGTTTGGAACTGATGAAATAATAGTTGGGTTAATGCTCCATCATGCCTCTGTATAGAAATTTTGAGATGATGCAAGGAAGCTCAAGGACCCAAAGTGCACACCTTGGGCAGCTCTTGGGTCGAGTCCCACATCTATTGTAAGGCAGCTCCTCTTCCACTTGTCGAGCTGGGTAATCCATCAAAAGCACAGGGCAGTGTGGCTTTGTTTTCCTTGACTCATTTTTCTGTGCAATGTGTTCAGCTGTGTTTGATGTTCAGTTTCATCCGATCTCAAGAAATTCTTCTGGAACTGGTAGGGGAGAATGGCAAGAAATACCTTAGGACTAGCTTGATCTCTGCAATCTTTATTCCTGTTACTACCTCTTTTGGGGAATTATATTTTGTAGAAACTATAAAGAAAAAAAATGGAGTCGTAGTTGCAGAGCAGTTTACAAAAATGCTGTGGGACTATCTAGGTGTAGAGAAAACATTTCAAATAACGTTGATTCCACATTTCTGCTAGGAACGCCATGCCTTCTCTAGGGAGAAGGTAGTTTTTCACTTCACAACAGTTACAGGACAGATAAAACGTATATTGGTACACTTGTCACGGTAGTGATTGGCTTGCCAAATTGATCTGAAACAGTTAATTATTCATTTATTTATTAGCGCTTTATATCCAATCTCTCATTTGGTGAGAATAATGGAGGGAAGGGAATATTTGCTGCTTTTAAAGAAATGAGGCAAACTTGATCTGAAGCTTATTCTTCGAAATTTCTACCAAAACTGAAGTCAGTATATGCGTAGCTCTCAAATGCTGCTTGCAGTGCTTTCTTGTACTATCTGTACATATTCACCAATATATTGAAGTGGACTGAGAATAGATGTGAAAGTCAGACAATTTCCAGTATCAAAACTGAGAGATCATAAAAGATAAGTGGCTGTTTAGAAATGGAGGAGAAAAATCAATCTGTTCACTGTTGTGACCCACCATTGTGGTTGGATCTACCTGTGCAGCTTTCAGTATCTGAGGTGAAGGATGAGTTTCAGCAATGAAAGAAATTGATTTTGTAAGCTTTGTCATGCAAAGTGTTGTGTGCATGACGAGGAGGTGGTTGGAGATATTAAAGTGAAACATCTCGAGGAAATCTTGTGTGGCTTTGTTGGTCTAAGGAAGACTCAAAGATGGCTCCGGACAAGTTCAAAGATAAATTTTATGATTAGAGTGGCAGTTGTCCTGTCTATCTAACAGAGGAAGGAG